AATTGTGTGAGGTAGGGGTCCAACTTAATTGTTTTGTATGTAGAAATCCAGCTGTCCCAGCACTATGTCTTTTTTCTTTTTTTAAAATCAGGTTGTATTTATTAAAAGCAGAATATAAAATATCTTGAAATTCAAAGATTATCTATTGTGATGTTTATCCTCAACAGGGTTAGTCCTAAAGAAAAAAGTTGATTGTTTTAAGGGAGGTAATAGAAAAATTTTAAGTCAGAATTATACATCTAGTTTAATAGAGACTGAGTTTATTGAAGCTGACAGGCCTCAGTATGTTCCTCCAAATTTTCAACCATTAAGAGCCCAAAACGGTTGCTTCCCTCATACCAACACCCGGTATGTGAGGTAGTTCCCATTCTGTTCTTTGACCAGGTGGTACCCTGTTTATTCTGCCTTTTTTTTTTTTTTTTTTTTTTGAATTTGATTTAACTTGTGGTAGGAATAATTCAGCAGGGGAATATGACCTTGTGGCATTGAATAGACATTGGTAAAGTTGCTTAGCCTTGGGACACATGCTCAGGAGATTTTCTACAGAGGTTGAGGCTAGCAGTTGTTGGCATAGTCCATGTACAAGGCTTCCGCTGTACAATCGAGTTTGGTCTGGCTCTGGGAGAAGAGTGGACAGAAGCTGATTGAGATACACCCCCATCTGGAGACAGCACTGCCACTGACAGAAGATGTGAGCTGTGTCTAACTCCAGTCTCATACCCAGCTGCGTCTGCTCCTTCACTCTTTGGAACTCTTCATACAACACCTTAGCAGCATCTTCCTGCAGATCTTCCTTACCAGGGCTATTGATAATGCCATGCAAGGGCCCAATCAGCATCCCCAGCAGCAAGGCTTGTAGATGATGTAGCTTTGCTTTGGCCTCTGTGTGCTGCAATCAGTAGCAACTGACAGCAATGGGTAATTTCAATGAAGTAGGAATTGGCTCCAGGATGGTCACTTTCAGGGTTTCTAACAGAAGTATCTGCCACCTACCTAAGGAGAGCTCAGTCAATTTGCTTAAGTCAGAATGATCCTTGGGCAGTTCTACTGCACCAATAATTGATGTTTTGATATTTTTATTAATCTTTTCTACTTCATTGAAAGCTAGAAGCTGAGGAGGCACTGCATTTCAGGACACATTTCCCAGATGTGGTGAAACATTCAAAAGAAGCCCATAGATGATTTGTCGGATGGGCTGAGATATTCTGTGGGCATTTGGTTGCTGCATGTTTTCCACCTGTGTATGAAGAAAGGTGCGTCTTAGGACCAAAGCATCACTGATGAAAGTAGATAGCTGGCCTTTAGCTAAAGCCACTAGTACCCATTCTGGTAAACCCAGATTCAAGGTGTCTGGGCAGATATAAGAACCATACTGGAAGAAGTCCTGTAGCTTCACCTGGGACTGGTGGTATTCTTCCATGGAACAGCAGAGAAGTTCCTTAACATTTTCTCCATCCTTTTTTGGGAGATATTTCAGAACATTATCTAGTGCTTCAGTAGGGTTGTCAAAATGAGACAACCAATTCAGAAGTCCCAGAACTCGATGGTGTCTCTTCCCCTTAGAACTGGTAGCTCCAAGAGGAAGACGTGCTTTACTTAAGAATGTGTCCAGGATAGGCAGATTAATATGGTCATTTCCACATAGCACCACGAAGAGAGGTAGAAGAGCTTTATTCATATTGCTGAAGTGATGACAGAACGTGTCAAGGGAAAAGCATTTAGCAGGGGTATAGTATTGTGTGCCCTTAATAGTGTTCATATTTCTCCACTGAAAGATATTTAATGGGCAACACCCAGTTTTCAGGCCAAAAATACAAAAGTCACTGTCTGATGATAAAACAGGACAATTCCAATGATTAGCAAGTGTCATAATGTCCCGATCTGCTTCTGAAAAGCACTGGACAAAACATACCTGCAGCTTGATCAAAACCTGTATGAACACTTCCCGGACGAGTAAGGGACACACACCCCCACCCCCACCAAGTGAAAGGGAATGGGCTGTCTGGATCTTCTCTTTAGCATGATCCTTTAAAGTGGTAAGCTTTTTATCGGAAATGTCACATCCTCCATCTAATACAACATATGGATGTATATTACATGCAAACAGTGATTCAAAGAATTCTTGTACAACATCTGTAAAAGCATCATAGTCCCCTTCGTACCGGAGCTCCAGGTTTGAATTGAAACAAAGTCTGTGGAAAAAAGCATAGCTGTCAATGATAATTTTTGTGTCCCGCAACTTCAAATCAGTGAAGAATTCATTACTGCGATCTTCCACAAAACTCATTAGTCCTTGGATACCCATGAAGACAGTCTGAATAATTGCCTGTTTAAAAAAATAGAATGCATTTTCAACTGCTGCTGGTTATGAGGCACCAGGTCATTGCTTCCACCACCATTAAATCGAGAGCAAATGTTATGAAGTGTTTATTAGATAAAAAATGCTGGATGCCAACATCTCTGAATTCTTATCTAGATCCTCAGTCAACACTAGTTGAGTGCTTTTTCATTGTCATTTTGCTTTCCCCATGTGTTATAAAGCATAAGCTCAGTGGTTTCAAGGGTTGTGATCTTTGTATAGGGATGGAGGCTGATGCTGATTCTGCTCTGTCCTCGCAGAGGATGAACCCCTCCACCAGAAGCCCACTGGAGCCCCCTAGTACTATTTCTTGAAGAGAGCATTCTTTCCCAATTGAATGGACTTCGATAAACAGTTGAATTTTTACAAAGGTACCAAGGCAATTTCAATGAGGAAAGGATACTTCTTTAAACAAATGGTGCTAGATTGGTTTGATATCCATCTGCCAGTGAACCTAGTCCTTTGCTTCATACCATATAAATAAATAGGCCTTACGGGGGTCATATACCCAAAAATAAGAGCCTTGTGAAAACAAAACAATACAAAATAAAACAATCAGCTATAGATGTATGGGTTTATTTCTGTACTCTTTAGTCTGTTGGTCTACATGTCTGTCCTTATGCTTGTACCACACTGTTTTGATTACTGTAGCTTTGTAGTAAGTTTGGAAAGTAGAAAATGTGAATCTTCTAGCTTTGTTCTTCTTATTTCAAAATTGTTTTGGCTCTTCAGGACCTCTTGAAATTCCATATGAATTTGAAGGTTGGCTTTTCCATTTTTGTGAAAAAGGTCGTTGGTATTTTGATAGTGTTTGTATTGTATCTGTAGATTGTTCTGAGTAGTATTGACACCTTAACAATATTAAGTCTTTCTATCTTTAAGCATATGATGTCTTTCGATTTTTTGATTTTCTTTAAATTCTGTCATCAATGTTTATAGTTTTCAATCATTCACCTCCCTGATTAAATTTATTCATAAGTATGTTATTTCTTTAGATGGTATTATAAGTTTCTTTAATTTCTTTATTTTTTAAAAAATTTTTATTTATAGAAACAAAACTGAGTTTTTGTGTCCATAATATCACCAAAAATTCTGGATTATTAGGAATAACTTTAACAAAAGTTGTATAAGATCTGCATACTGAAAACTACAGAAGGTTGCTGGGATTCATTTACGGAGACCTAAGTAAATGGACAGATTTGTAGTATTTATGAATCAGAAGATTCAGTGTTATTAAGAAATCATTTCCCTCATAATCAGTTGATTTAGTACAATCCTCAATAAAATCTTTGTGGGCTTATTTTTCGTAGAAATTGACAAGCTGATTTTAAAATTTATGTGGAAATATTAATGCTACATTAGCGAATAGTGTTTTTGAAAAAAGAATAAAGTTTGAGAATTTATACAAACTGTTTTCAAAACTTATGAAGTTATAGGTAATTGAGATAGTGTGCAGTTAGCGGAAAGAAAGGCTTGCTTGTGTGTCAGTGCAACAGATTAGTGAGAATAGAACTATATCGATAAACAATTGAATTTTTATGAAGGTACCAAGGCAATTTCAATGAGGAAAGGATTCTTTTTTAAACAAATGGTGCTAGATTGGTTTGATATCGATCTGCCAGTGAACCTAGTCCTTTGCTTAATACCATATAAATAAATAAGCCTTATGGGAGTCATATACCTAAACATAAGAGCCTAAACTATAAAATTTCTTCAAGAAAACATAATGGAAAATTATAAAGATTTTAGATTAGAAAAAGATTCCTTAAATAGGTTAGAAAAAGCACAAATTATATAATTTCAAAATGGATAATTTTGACTGCATTAACATAAAAAATCTTTACTCCTATTAATACTTCTTTTTTTTTTTTTTTTTTTTGAGACAGAGTCTCACTTTGTTGCCCAGGCTAGAGTGAGTGCCGTGGCGTCAGCCTAGCTCACAGCAACCTCAAACTCCTGGGCTCGAGTGATCCTTCTGCCTCAGCCTCCCAGGTAGCTGGGACTACAGGCATGCGCCACCATGCCCGGCTAATTTTTTTATATATATATCAGTTGGCCAATTAATTTCTTTCTATTTATAGTAGAGACGGGGTCTCGCTCAGGCTGGTTTTGAACTCCTGACCTTGAGCAATCCGCCCGCCTCGGCCTCCCAAGAGCTAGGATTACAGGCGTGAGCCACAGCGCCCGGCCCTATTAATACTTCTTAACGAAGAAGTTGCTAAGCAAATGAAAAGGAAAGCCAAAGACTTGTAGAAAATATTTCCAGTACATATATGAACCAAGACTATTTATCTAGAATATATAAGCAACTTTTACAAGTCAGTAATGAGTCAAATAGCTCAATAAAAAGAGTAGTAAAAGATTTGAACAGATACTTCACCAAAGTGTTCTTCTGAAAGTACCTCATAGAAGACCACCTTACTACTAAAACAGACATGCATACATGTCTTTGGTAAGAAAAGGAGAACGGTCGTCAATGAGAAAGTAGATGTATTTGGCCTCATTGTTGCTTGAAGATAAAAATTATATCTGGAAAATAAGTAGTAATTTTGCTTAATAAAAAGTATAATGTTTCATAAATTGTATATTTATTTTTAGCTTTTTTAAAACTATTATCAATCATCATTTTAATTTACTTTAGAAATATAAACCTGGTCGATGTGATGATATTTTGAAGTGGAAGCCTCCCAGTCTGAATTCTGTGGATTTTCGTCTAAAAATAACAAGAATTGGAGGAGAAGGGTAAGTATATACTTTTGTTTCTCATGATTTGGGTATGAAATAATAATGTCTATATAAGGCTTCATTGTTTACTGGATATCTTACATATGCTTTTCAATACTTAAAAAAATTTTTACAGTATACTTTACATATATATGTGTGTGTGTGTGTGTGTGTGTGTATATATATATATATATACACCCACATCTATCTCATTTTCACAGATTATTTTACCTATAACAGCTAACATTTTGTAGAATCTTTCAAACTTTACCAATTTTAGTCTTGAAACCCCCCTTCTAAAAAGAGAATACAGATATTAATAATATCAAAGTGAACTTTATTAAATTGTAAAAGTCAAAATAGATTTTACTCAAAAATAATCCTGTGAAATGAATTATAAATGTAAACTATGATCATTGATATTATAATTAAATGTATTGAAATGTATCTTTTTTACTTAGAAAGAAATGACTTCATATGTGCATTTATATAGCAAACATTTATCCATTCTTTTGTTGGGTAGGGTTTTAATTGTTAACTTTCATTTATATTCATATTGTTCATTAAGTGCTAATTTTTTCATTTATTGATTAATCTTTTATGACTTTATTTGGTTATTTTAGATTAAAGATGCTTTAGCATGAACATTTTCATTATTTTTCTAAAGGCTTGTTTTTTTTACTTCGTTCCACAAGTTTTTAAGTCCTCTTATCCAAGTAGATATATTATAACAAAGTAAGAAATGATGAATGAAGGAAATCATAAAGTAAATAAGATAATGCTAGCAAAGAAATTAAAATTTATCAATGTATGCTGTGAAGTTATTTTTACTCGTCAAAGGTAAAACACAGGTATTCTTTTGTGTAGCTAATGGAATGAAGGAAATATTATTAGGAGGAGTCCAGACTCTGTAAGATTAAAAGTAGTCTCTTAAAGATTGTGCATTCTTAAAGAAAAGAAACTGTACATTGAATCCTAAATAAAGAAGTGGGTTTAATAAAGCATATGGTTATTAGTTTTCAAAAAATAGAGTATTTATTATTTGATGACTTGGGATATACAAAAAAAAATGAGTGTTTAGTATTTTACATTTCTAAATGTTTGTAAATTAGTTAGCCATTGGAACTTAATGGAAAAAAATTGTTAGAACAATTATCTAGGGACCCCAAATAGAGCTCTGTATTGGTCTAATTTTGATGCAAGCATAGATGCATTTTAAGCTATAGGAAAATGTGGAATACATGCACAAACACACATATAAATGATTTTTTGGGTAGTTTCCAAAAGTATTATTTCTCTTATCTAAATGTTGGATAAATATTGATAAACATAATACATTCAAGATTATTCTTCCTGTGAAAATATCTGGTGTATAGATATTCTTGGTTGCCAGTTAACTGTGGAACTATACATCAATAATCATGCAAGCTGGTTGTAGGCTTGATATGTTCTTCTGGAAGTGTCTTATAGAACACTACCTTACTATTCAAACAGTGGAGGCTGAGGAATCAATTCTGGTGGGATCAAACTTTTTTTTTTTAAAGACACAGATAAATATATTTCTTTGGAAAATAAGACTTCAAGTATGAAATAAAATTTGTTAAATTGCTGTGTTACTAATCTTCTATTTTGCTTAATGCTGTATTTATACTATTTGATTAAAGAGCATAAGCCTTTGTATGTTTTTCTTGATTCTTTCATTGAGATTTGAAAAATCATTTAGCTTTGCCTTTTACAGATCATAATTTTTAGTAGTAGTAGTTAAAAATAGCATATCCATTTCTCTAGTAGCAAAAGATTTTTTTCTTGCACTTGCCTATTGTAATTAAATATAGCAAAATGTAATTCAGTTCAATAGTTTATTATCCCACTTTTGCTTTTATTCTTAGTGTGTTTTAAATATATTTTGTTCTTTAAAAATTTTACCTATTTGTATGTCTTCTTACAAAAAAATTGAATTACTTTTGATTCTAGTACCTCTTTAAAACACATCAAAATGCCACTGTTTAAGGTGATTTTGAGATAGGAATATGCAAGTTACATCAGTATAGGTACATAATTTATGTAACATGGGTATAGGGTACCAGTTTAAAAAAAATGATATTTAATATTAAATATACTATATTAACTATTCAGTTAGCCAGAGTAATATGGTTTTGTTAATCTAAAGAATGTTATGCATTACAACAATTTTCACTAAATAAATGAGCTTATATCTAACGGTTACCAGCAACTCACTATGTTAGAGAGCACTGTAAGAAATATGCCTGTAAGTGTGAAAGGAGAGTGCCATGTCTCTGAATCATAAGCGTGGACTAGTGAAGTGGGACTAAACTAGTAAAACACCATAAGATGCACTACTTTCTTTTTTTTGATTACACTTCCATATATTTCTACAAAGCTTAAAATGGAGTGGAATGTCTTGAAAGGTATAATATAAATAACAGTCTTTGAAAATGTCTGCAGTGATTTATTGTTATTATTTTTTAATTATGTCTTAGGCTTTCTAGATACGGTTTTGAGTCTCACTCAGCTGCTATAATAAAGTGGTAATAGTATAGATTTCTGTTAGATGGAAATTTGATACAAATAGAAAAACCTATTCTTTTTGTTGAATGCCCTATTGATGGCAATTAAAATCTGAACTTTGCTCTTTTCATTCCCTATTACTTTGGAAAATTTGAAATATATTAACTTAACATTGATTTATCATGACCTAACATAACTTTTGTATATCTTAGCAATTTATATTGTATTGCGTTTTATAGACATACAATATAGATTTTTCATCCAAGAGCTATTCATTATTTTTTAAATATTGTGACTTTATATTAACTAATCTGCAATCGAAAGCCACGGTCAATTCAAAAGCTAGAATTACAGAGGTAGTCTGTACTCTGGAATTTGTAAACTCTTAAGTACAATGTCAGTGACTTATGCTGAGTGATATTCACTTATTATTTGTATAGCATAGTATTTTAGAGCACAGATTCTAGAGCCAGACTACCTGCGTTGAAATCACCTTACTAACTGTGTGATTCTGAGCACATTACTTTTTTCTGTGCCTCAGGTTTTTCAACAATAAAATAGGAATTTGCCTAATAAGACTTTTATAAGGATTAAATGAGCAAATAATATATTTAAAGTATTTAGAACCGAACCTGGCACGTGGTAAGCATTAAATGTTTGCTATTATTTTGTTGTTTTACTAAAAATAAATTTAAAAGTCTATATTTCCTTCTTGCCACTGCTACAGTTCTGCCTGTTACTTGCTGCACAGTTTAAGTCCAGCTCTCTGTGTGACTCGTTTCCTGTTTGATTCCAATCCCTGTTAACTTTTCTGTTTTAAAGTGTATATATTTTTTAACTTATTTGTGTAATTAATCATAAACTGTTAAACATCTAGAGAGCAAGAACCCATCAAAATCACATAACTTTTACTTACAGAGTTTTTTGTAACAAGTCTCTTACAATAACCTTGGCAGTATGTATAGTGGTGTTAAGAACATGAGTTCCAACCAAGACTGCTCAGAACCAAATTCCAGTTCTGCTACTTACTTGCTATATGTGGTCTTGGTACTTAATCTGGCTCAGCATCCTCATCTGTAAAATGTCCACAATGATGGTGCTTATCATGTAGATTTGTTGTGAAGATTTATTCATGCTTGATAGTTAATTGCAGGGGCGAACAAAGTAAATATGAGTCTGCTCTTGTGGATTTTACAAGGTAGTGGGCTAAAATGCAAAAATAATACTGCTTTAAGAGGTTTTGTGAGAATTCAGTGATGCATGTAAATTTAGGCCAAAACTCAATAAATGTTTACTTTTTAATAACTATTTTGATTGTTATGGTTATTAATTTAACCTCAGGAAAATGTATGGTTGTCATGGATTACAAACATATCCTGTATTATCAAGTAAAAATAAAAGTGCTCTGAATGAAGAAACCACACATTTCTGTGAAAATATAAATTTTTTTTCTCCTCCTAACAAAAAATACATTTTTAAACAACAGTGAAATTTAAATTTTCATCTATCATGTTGCAGATATCAGTAATGCCCCTTTGATTAGGGTGTGAGCAAATAGGCACTCTCAGTAAGGTGTTTGGTAGGAATGCAAATTGATAAAACTCTTCTAGTAAGCAATAAGGTAGTTTATATATCCTGAGAAAATATGCTTCAATTTTTATGAAAGGAGAGATCTTAATTGTCTTCTACACAGTTGTATTCCTAGTACATAGCATGGTGGCTCATATGTAGTAGGTAATCCAGAGATATTAATGGTGGAATGTATATATAAGCAGAAATACAAAAAAGTGTATATAAGAATTTTTTAGAAGCATCATTTAAAATAGTGAAAAATTGGGAATATTCATTGTCTTTTTTACTGTAAAAGTGTGTTTGTAAAATACAGTTGCATACATGTATCTTCCTGTGTGTGTTTCTAGTAAAGTTGCTAATAGCATTATAAAAATCTTAGCTAGAAGCTGTGGCTCATGCCTGTAATCCTAGCTCTCTGGGTGGCTGAGGTGGGAGGATTGCCTGAGGTCAGAAGTTTGAGATGAGCCTGAGCAAGAGTGGGATCCCATCTTTACAAAAAATAGAAAAATTAGCTGGGTATTATGGCACAGGCTTGTAGTCCCAGCTACTCAGGAGGCTGAGGCACGGTAATCACTTGAGCCCAGGAGTTTGAGGTTACAGTGAGCTGTGATGATACCACTGCATTCTAGCTGGGGTGATAGAGTGACACTCTGTCTGCCTCCAAATATATATATATATATTTTTTGTGTGTGTGTGTGTGTGTGTGTATCAGTATCTGTGTGTGTGTGTGTGTGTGTGTGTGTGTGTGTGTGTGTGTATCTAATAGTATCTTTTAAAAATTGGTCCGGTCTGTTGAGATACAAGATATTTTTTAGAGCTTTGAAATTGAACTGAGATCTAATATCCAACTTCATTGTTTCATTTCATATTCACACATAGTTGTGTGATGTTAATAGATGTATCAGTTTGGATCTAGC